ATTAAAATCGTCAGAAACTGCCATTATTAAATAATAAATTAACAATATAATTACAGTAATGGCAGTTTCAGACAATCTTAATCAAAACTTGTACTTGAAGTTTAATATACACTATCGATCCGGAAACATTTCATTTTATTCACATGTCTATAGTCAGCAGTCGAGTCCCGGGAAAATACCCAGTTATCTATGGTTTACGTTAACAGATTTTCTCACACGATCTAGCAAAAATCGACACTTTTCGGTGGTCAACCATGATTTGTTACTTTCGCTATCATGAATATGGTAGAGCAGCGTTGTGTACATATAATTGGCGATAATCTAAGAATAGTAGTTGTGTTGGGCCTTGAAACACTCGTAGTTTTCAAGTTACTGCGAGTAAGAAAATTCGTACTTAAAAGCGTGGAATGGCTTCTTTCCGTTCCAATTTTAGCTATTGACCAATAGGAATCGGCGAAAAGCAACAATCTGACAATATTGAGCGCACCTCCGGAAACCTCACCTTGTGCATTGGATAACAGTCGCAAAAAGTCTGTCTTAGCGTATGATGCACAGTTTCGTGAAAATTCGAGTTAAACACGAAATTATCTTGAACAATAAGTTTTGTAGAATGGAGACGCTAATATTTCGCACTTCACTTGTTTTTTTTTTCAATAAATCTCGATCACAGTGGCAAATCACCAGGTCAAAGTTGAGACAAGTACGATCTGACGATAACAAAAAGCTCCAGGTCAGGACTTTCACCGGAATTGGTTACCGAGCCGGCGTCTCCTTTATAAGCCTGCTTATTTTCACTCTCGCCACACTATCAGCCTGCAACCTCTTCCCTTCCCTTACTGCCCACTGAAGCATTTGTAGCTATTGGATGAAGTATGAACCAGTGTCTGCAGTGTACAACGGAGTTAAACTGGCGTTCATACCAGACTATTCGAAATGTAAGTTTTATAAAAAAAATTAAAGTCTTATCGATAAAATACGATATTATTGTGAATATCCGAGTATTTCAGCTGCGAATCAGTTAGATCCGAAAATAGCGCGGCTTAGACTAATTATGCGCTTTTATTGCGAAAACTCAATTGTTCGCTGCATATAGTGCTGTACCGTATATATCACAGATATCCAAACTACACACCCATAATTCGCGAAAATCTCACTTTTTGCGACTGTGACCTATTGTTAAAACATTAATTTGTGCTACCGGCCTTTTTCGCTTGAGAGGTATCTGTGCCCTCTCCACCAGTACACTTACTACTGCCACTCGTCTTTTGCTTTGCTCGTCGACCAGCGGCGACTTTCTTGATGTTAAACTTGGTCACATGAGCTACCAACATCACGCGATTTTCCGCAGCTGAAAAAGTTTGTCGTTTGCGTGAATACCCAAAGTAAAAAACTGTTAGTACCACAATTATCGCCGAAAACACAATGATCTCTATCCCGCCGTTATCTTGGAAGGCAACCACTGCAATAATTGCTAAAACCCAAACAACCATGGAGTAAGCAGCTCCAGCAATTCCCCACGGGCTCCGAAACTCCGAGCTTTTGATGTTGCGATAGTTTCGTTTGAGTGAAATGTAGCCGATGCATTGGCCTGTATACGACATAAACGCCGATAATACACAGATCCGGAACAGATGATCCCCCACCGCAGGGACGAAATAGGAAATAATACAGAGTGCATAGCTGAGTGCTGATCCGGCTAGGAAAGCACCATAGGGCGTCTCGTTTTCCTTCGTTGTCTTGGATAAAAAATGTGGTAGAAGACGAGACATTGCCATAGCAGCAATAAGTTTGCCGTAACACCACATAAACCCGAAAGCTGTAGCGTAAGTGGCCGGTAGTGATAAAATGGTAGCAGTGTGATGTGAAATATTGAACATGAGTGTAAATCCCCTGTTGAACGGAACGAGTTCGCTTGGTAGCGTAGCCAATCCAGGTGGTAAGGACGCCGTCACGAAAAAAATCACCAAACCAGTGCAAAATAGTGTCACGACGCACGAAACTTGAGCAATCGGAACAACTTTCTTAGGCTGGACCACCTGGTCACTTGACATATTTAATGCTTCCACGCCCACGAAGAACCACGCCGCTAACGGAAATGCTTTCATAAATCCTGAAACCCCGTCAACGAATTCGAAATTTGGATCGGCGCCGTATTTCCCGAAATTCACAAAAGCGAACGATCCCAAGCAGTAGATCACAACGATCATAAGTGAAATGGTACCGATCCCGAGATTAAATATCCAGAATGCACGACCTCCTTTGATTTGGATGACAAGCGCGCTGGCATAAAAAAGAGTCCATAACAATGGCGAAAGGAACTCTAACCAGGGAACGGCATCGACGATGAGATCAACAAATGAAATGGTGGATGTCGAGACGTACGCGATGTACTCGAGAGCTTCACAACATCCGATTATGAAGGCCGGATAAAATCCAAGTGTGCATCGTGCCAAACCATAGGCGCCTCCCGCGAATGGCAGCGCGCCTGTGATTTCTGCTGTACAGCAGCAAAATGTGATGTACGCACTAGCAATCAGCAAATAGCCGAAAAGGAAACTGTAAATTCCAGCGTTAACGCCTTCGTTCCAGCAAAAATACTGCCCACCGATCACAGTGGTGATCCCGAGCATATAGATATCCATTTTCCCGTGTCTGTACTTGATCGTGTGGTAAACTGAGGGCCCAGAGGCGGTTCGAGAGGTTTCTTTCTCTCCATTTGGCAGAATTTGCGCAGGAAGAGGCTGAACTGATGCCGATTTCTTGTATATATTGAGGATTTTCATTTCAGCTTAGCGATGGTTGATGAGAGCGCCTAAGCACTTTCTGGAGTGAGTCAGCAATGTGGATCATCTCTGTCTAAGTATAAATTAGTAGGTATGAGAACGGGCCGTTCTCCACCAACACAAGTTGTTTTTTTGTGGTGCTATTTCTGACGAACTGAAACTTCCGAGGACGAGTACTGTAGTTATTACGTTAAGTGTTCTTATTTCAAAGAAAAGTTCTTAATCTAAAAGGTGATTCCTTCGCTTTCGTAATAACCACATAGTAGTTTACGTCAAATCGTCGGCATCCGACCCTTATCTTTTATTGGAAATGGTTAATTCCGCATCCGCATTTGACTGAACTTCACTAAACTTAGCCTTTCCATCAACATCTATTAAGAAATCGTAAGGCGTTACCGCCTACGATAACTGTGACGGGGTCACACAGCACCTTGCGCTGAGGAAGTAGGCTTCCTCTAGAGTATACAAACTCTAAGTGAACGACCGTTCACGTGTCCCTGGTCTGAGGGGACGAAGTACTCAGTTGAGAGTACGACTAAGACTATACGTAAACTTAACTCAGTTTTTTAATACAAACTATAAGTTACCTATAATGAAGCTATGTAGATATGCAATGATTGGCTCCTAGAGCCCCTGGTATCATGTACCAGGTATTACAAGAGTGACTGGTCACTCTTCATGAAACTTGGGTACACTTGGGGTTGTACCCCGTTACAATAACTACAGCCTCCCATTGGCTGGATCAATTCAGAAAACGCATCGAACGTAGGCACAATGAGTGGTGGAAGTTCGCAACCCACGGTTGGTACAGCAAGCGATGTAGAGGCAGTACGCGATGCCTGCGTGTCGAAGCACACCAGAGTGAAGTATAAGAGTAGTCTGAACGGTATCAAGAGATGGATTGTGGAGGATCTATCCAAGTAAGATGCTAACACCGGCAGATTCTTTGACGAGCACGACGAACTTGTTCTAACGGAGTTTACTATGATTCCTAGTCTATGTGGTGAGGTCAATATGATGGGAATATTACAGGTATGACTCGCTAGTCTGGTTCAACACGCTCACAATCTACAAACGCATTTACCAACTGACCACACTCTACTTTCAACGCAAGTAATACGAAATCCAGTGGTGCTTCAAAGTTACCGCAAAATCTCACAGCTGGCGAGTCTCCGAGGATGCAACCCACTGAAATACCGCCTTATATCGAGTTGTATAAAAACCTTGACAAACAACAGGAATCCATTAACTTTTTGCCAGAAAAGTTGGAAAAAAGGTTGGAGCACGTGCTGGAAAGCAAGGGTGTTGTAGCTGGGAATATTACGCGAGAGTTATTATGCGAAGAAATTCAACAGAAGTCAGTCTTCAACGTAATTTACTAACTCGTGACGCTGTAGCTACTACTGCACCAAAACGCTCGTATTTTACATGGGGTGGAAAGTTTCACCTTCTTCCCAGAGAATTTAACTTTCCCCCATTTGACCCCCTATGCTTCAGTGGTTTGGGAATCCAATCCTCGGTTACCCTCCGTATAGAGGGATACCGTCTGATGATTTAGAAACACCTCAGAAGAAAGTAACGCTATCTTTGTGGTCAATCATGATGGGGCACATCACGACCGGAATTGAAGCACACTTGGGCACTCCAATGCCTACAGTCGTCGATGAACCCCACCCTATCAAGTTGTTTAACATAGGATATAAGGTACTTTGACTAAAGCCGAGCAAACGAAAGCGTAGAACAGGACAGCTGAAGCTGTCAACAGTACTCTGACTCGTCTGACAAAATGACCAAGATCAGGAAAGAGATCACCAACCAACCTCCAAACCACGAATACGGCCAAGATGCGCAAGCGATGGTGTTCACTCTGCTCGCGATGACGTAGTAGAAGCACCCAAACAGGTAAACAGTATTTGAATCTTAGCAATACATGATTAAGCTTTTGATTAAGGTTTTCAACCAATCACATCACATCATCATACCGTCACAGAATGCCTCTTGCGTTTTCTCAAGTCAATTGAATATTATATTTATCTATCTATCTGGGTAAAAAACGCAACTCCAAGATCATTAATCGGTTGGTTTTATTATTGAATATTAAACCAGGATAGAATATGTGCAATTATGGTGTACTAGTGAAAGGATTCATTATGCTATGGTCCAGTACTTCTGCCACTTCTGCCGGATCTAAGAGACCTAATCGATTTGATAGGCTTTCCGATTGCTGCGACTTGACTGGGGCGTCTTCCATCTGAAGCTTCGCTGTTGCCTTTCGTATGGTGGCTACTATTTGTGGCGCTTGCACTTTGGTTCTTCTGGCGCCGAGCAGCTGCAACTTTTTTAATGTTGAATTTAGTCACGTGGGCGACCAACATGACCCGGTTCTCTTGAGGAGAAAAAGTCTGGCGCTTCCGTGCGTATCCAAAGTAGAAGAGCGTCAAGAGTGCAACGACAGTCAAAAACACAAAGGTCTCGACACTGCCGTTCCCCTGGAATGCAACGATCCCCACAATACTTAGCACCCACACCAGCATTGAATACAGAGCTCCCCACGATCCGAATGGACTGCGAAACTCGGAACTCTTGATGTTGCGGTAATTGTGTTTAAGGGAGATGTAGCCGATACATTGACCAGTGTACGACATGAAGCCTGAGAGGATACAAATGTTGAAGAGATACTGTCCGATCGATGGAGCCCAATACACCACTAGACATAGAGCGTAGCTCACAATCGTTCCAGCAATTAGAGCAGCGTAAGGAGTGTCATTCTGTATCGTTGTTTTGTTTAGAAATGAAGGCAGTAACTTAGACGTTGCCATTGCCACTATCAGTTTTCCATAGCACCACATGAATCCAAACGCGGTGGCGTAAGTGGCTGGTAGTGATAACACAGTCGCAGCCTTGCGAGGAATATCCAATAGCAGTGTGAATCCATTGTTAAAAGGGACTAGCTCGGTCGGTAGAGACTTCAATCCAGGTGGCAATGATACCGTGACAAAGTACACAAATATTCCAGTCACGAATAGTGTCAAGACGCATCCGACTTGAGCAATGGGGACTATATGCTTCGCCTGTTCGACTTCATCACTGGCCATTGGTAAAGCTTCCACTCCAACGAAAAACCAGGCAGCAAGAGGGAGGGCCTTCATAAACCCCTGGAATCCATCCGCAAACTCTAAATCAGAGTCAATAGCGTATTTTGCAAAACTGACGAACGGGAGTGAGCCAATGCAGTAGAGAACGACAATCAACAACGAGGTAACTCCAAGCACGAGATTGAAGATCCAGAATGCTCGACCACCTCTGATGTGGAATACCAACGCACTAATGTAAAAGAGACCCCATAATAAAGGACGAAATGGCTTCATCTCCGGTGCAGCCTCGACGACAAGATCGACGAATGCGATAGTTGAAGCAGAGACGTACGCGATGTACTCGAGTGCTTCGCAACACCCAATCATGAAGGCAGGATAGAATCCGAGTGTACAACGCGCGAGTCCATAAGCACCGCCTGCAAACGGTAAGGCGCCAGTGATTTCAGCCGTACAACAACACAGAGTGATGTACGCACTTCCAATGAGAAGGTAAGCGATGAAAAAACTCCAGAGACCAGCAGAGATGCCTGCATTCCAACAGAAATACTGCCCACCGACGACAATCGTGATGCCAAGCATGAAGATGTCCCATTTCCCAGGTTTGTAGCTCACTGCAGTGTGTTTAGCGACTGGACCGATGGAGCTGGCAGTTCGAGTTGTGGTCTGTTTGAGCAGTGTGGACGACTCAGGAGGTGACCGTGTCGGGTTTGACTGCACTCGCACAGACCGGATAGACTGTTGCGTCGGAGCAATAGACACCTTGGTCATTCTGTTGACTTACTCCCCTTGCCGATCGCTGAATGCTTCGAGCTCCAAAACCAAGAATATAATGAGCCGACAAGGTAACAACCTGGACGTGCGATGATGTATACACCTTCAAAATAGGTTGCTCTCATGCCTGGTCTCCAGTTAGAGCACGCTTATCCAATGTGATCGATTTTTAAAGATCGAATTAACTGTCAATTACAGTGCAGGTCGTAAATGCAATCCATCAGGAGAAATCCCACCTCTGAGGGTCCTTACTTATTCCTCAAAGGTGGAAGCTCATAGAGCTTCTCAACACGAAAAAAATTGAGCACCACTGTCCAGGCCGAGCAGATCGCTCAGGGCCCAGAGAGTTGGCGAAGTTCTATGAAATAGAGATGCGACTCCCGTTAAATCCGCTCTAAGTTAACTCTAACCTAATTCCGAGTCGCCAGAGACTCCATGTACTTCTTCTGCAGCTCGAACGCCACGAGGGTGATGCCAAACAGCGGCGCCTGCACCATCATACGCGGCCCTGCGCCCTTCATAAGCGCCATGGGGCCGTTGGCAGACACGATTTTCCGGACACAGTCGACCATGCCAGTGTATGGAGATCCCTTCATCTGGAGTCGTGTCTTGATCACGTCAGCTGGTGTGCAGATCGCAGCAGCGCCAGCGCCGGCCACAGCTCCAGCCGTCACAATAGACAGCACCGAGTTCTTACCCGTGGCCTTGTCTGCCCAGGCGTCACGAAGCGTAGCGTAGGACGGGAAGAAGAGGATAGCGTACGGAACATCGCGCATGAAGCACACGCCTGCTCCCTTGTACACGCCGCGGATTCCTAAACTCCTTGCGATCTCCAACGCCGTTTGTCGTTCTGCAACTGGCAGCGACGTCTGCATTTGCAAGCGGATCTTGACGATCTCAACCTACACAACGTTTACAGTCTCAGTTAGCTAAAGTACTTTAAAAGACACCGTATAATTTCCAACCACTTCGTACCGGGTTAGTGATGATGGATTGCGCACAACCAGCACCGGCACCAGCCAGCGCTTGCTTGGTCAGTGACAGGTTACCGTCAGCGTCGGCGAAGTATTCTCGGAGCTGCTCGTTGACTGCAAGTTTGATGGCCTTTTCGGGGAGAACTCCCATGAGTGTAGGGGGCAGACCACGGTACAAACCGCGCAGTCCGTCGGTGGCCACAATGTGCTTGAAGCATTGCACAGGTCCGGAGAACGCCATGCGTCCACCCGTGCGTGTTTGGCCCTGCAGATGCGTCTTGACGATGTCCATGGGGAAGGTGGCGACCATTCCGACAGCTCCTGCCATACCGCCCACAGCGAGTTTCAGGTGGAGCGGGATTGCAGTGGGCGCCTGCATGGTCTTGGAGCTAGATGCAGCCTCCCGGGAGGGCAGCGAGCGCACTTTGAGCGGAGAAATGTGACGGAGTGTAGCCGAAGACGTCATTCTGGATTTATAGGCGACGGGAGGAAGGAGATGACGCTTCGAAGCCGAAAAAACAGGAATGAGGCAGTGCAATGGCACTTGCGCGCATGGTGGCGAGCGGATTGAGCGCTGGGGCGCACACAGCGACGACCTCCAGAACGCACGCTGCACCTGGTGCAAGATGCTTCAATTGCTACCAGCCGTTTTATTCTGCTTGGGGGTTTCGTTGCTACGTTTAGCAAAGCTAAAAAAGTAAATGTGGGGAAAGTTGAGAAGGTTATTGTGACTATATTGGGTAATATAAGGATTTTTGAGAGGGTGTACGTGTAGTTTTAGATAAATGATTCGGCTCATCTTTTTTTGTGAGACAGCGGTTGGGGACAGCCGTTGGGGACACTTTTGCTCGCCAGTCATGAGCCGTTGCACTGTGCGTATTTTGACTTGTTTTGGCAGTCAGACGCACAGTTTGGCGGGAGCGAGGCATATCCTGGATGCACAATCGGTGCTGCTCAGCTTTTTCGTGTTTGCTTGGGGACCAATTTCGTGGTTGCGCATTCGAGATAGACTCAACTCGGTTGCTGCTTGGTGCGAGCTGGTGCCGGTAGTTGAGAATTTACAAGTGAATATATTTTCTCCTGGCACTTGGTAGCTACAAGTATACTCTCAACTTCCGAGTCGCTGCTCCAACGCTCTCGCTTGCCACCCGAAAGAATGTTCTAGTGGCTTAGAGAGAGCGGAGATTACAGATACTGCTCATGCGCTTAACGATGCTTTGAAGAAGCCCCGCAGTTGCCAGAGACAGACCCAGTCTTGAAGTGTGCATCACTTCAGTTTTTAACACTACCTTTGCATGGAAACGCGCTGTCAAACGGTTACTTGGTTTTACTATGTGGCCACTTGTAAATATTTCCATTAATCAATCTGTGGACGAACGCGGAGTTGATGTACTTGCTGATAGGAAGACCTTCTCGATTTCTACAAGATTCGACGTATCAAAGGAGTCCGCCTCGACACGAGGCTCGAGGTGGAGTGGTGGTGGGTAATTGGAAGGAGCGAGAGGCTGAGCTTCGTCAGGTCACAGCTGTGTCCGGGTAGTAAGGGTGCTCGACTGACTGTACTTGTACGCTAGCTTCGCGGTACAATATCCAAGGCTGTGTATGTGCGTGCGTGTAAAATTCAGGCTGGGGTATACCCCTGAGCGCATGCAGCCATGAGATTCCATCGCGTTCTTATCTGCAACGCCAGTATCCCACGATAGCGGATGCAGCCATCGTGCTTAGCAGCATTTTCAGCGGATCAGTCTATCCGCTGGATTGTACCTATAGATCAAGCGAAAATCGAAATCCGGCAACTAAAATAATGTTTGTGACTCCGACGAGACAGGATAGTGCTGTCGAAGCTCGTAGGAATGGAAAGGTGATGAAGGCTTGTTGGACAGTTGTCCAACATTCCCTTTGTGGCAAGTTTCTGTGGCCTCATCGTTGTGATCGAGGCTTGCAAATGTCTGTCACTTTGGCAGGCATCACCCGTTAAGCATCCTTATCCGCCAAATATTTACTCGCCTATTTAAAATGGTTGGTAGCTTGGATACTAGTATTTGCAAAATAATCCTGTACAGCTATTGTGAAGCATTTGTTTAAACCACGCCACCGTGAATTTGATAGTTGCTTGATAAAAGGATACCCAACGGTAGTTTTTTTTTGCTTGTAGCCTCGCAAGTGTATTCACTGAGTTTAACATGTTCAAAGCCTAAGCCTTTCAGAACATCAAGTGAGCTTGATGGTGTAAATATTTTCCCCTCTCTACGTAGTAGGTAAATGCTGATCTAAACTCAGCAAGCTTCGTCTTCCGTGCGTGGTAAGGAGTCTAAACTGGCGGTAGGAGACGGACAAGGCATTGGTCTTGGCGAGATAAGGGTATCGTCCTGCACCACGTGCTTCTCCATGAACTCGATGAATCGGTCCCCGTAGAAATCCGGATTCACGGACGAGATCTGTTTGCGGTTGTGACGCAGACCCTTGATAAACGTCTCTGCGATCTTGCGTGTGTTATACTGCTGCAAGATGTCGATGATGCCCAAGAAATACACGAATCCGTTCTTACGGCCGTGACGGTCGCGTCCATAGATGCCTCCTTCATCCTTACAGAACACAGATTCCGAGTACTCTGCATACGCCGTCGTGTCCAGTAGACGAGGAGATAACGGAGCCATACTAGACCCTGAGCCTCTGGGCGTCGACGGCAACGATCCAAATGAGCCACGGTTGGCTGGAGAAAAGTCTCCGAAGGCGCTGCCAAAGCTAAAACCTCCATCACTACTCGTCTCCGAGTCGTTGTCCGAGTCCAGATCCAGACTCAAGCGGCCTTCACTGCCCGTCGGAGTGTTCGGAGGAGACAGAGCGAGTCGTGTCTGAATGGAAGAGCGAACTGGAGGAGGCTGCAGTTGAATGTCACTGTCCGGCATTGACGTGGACCGAAATGGGCGCGGCGGGGGAGCAGATACGAGCTCGGGTTCTGAACGTGCAGGGGAAGCAGGTAACGACTTGGAGCTGCCTCCTTGCTCCGACGTGACACTGTCTGAGCTATCACTAGTGGGTGTGCCTGTATACAGGTCATTCTGTAGCTCACATCCGGAGTCATGCACACCGATGAGAAGACTGTAATCCATGATTTTCATCTGCTTTAGAAACTCGACATCTTTGCGCAGTTGAACGAGGAAAATCGCACGTCGAGCCATCCCCATCTGCAAGTGGAATCCTTTGTCCAGTAGATCGTTGTCTTTCAACACGCCAGCGCTGCCTCGCTCGTGCTCTTTAGGAGACGCGTGACGTCCCACACGCGAGCCTTTCAAGTCGAACCGCGCGTGGATATCCAAGGGCGTATCGAAGACACTGGCCATGATGACGAAATGCATCTTCCGTCTCAAGTGGTGCATCTTGACGCGATGCATGCCGTAGAACCGCGTGATCAACGTGTTGGGGTTCTCCATCACGAACTTGTAGTAGTGAGGCAAGATACGACGCAGGAACTTGGACTCATCTTTGGTCTGCGTCTTGATCATGAACCTCCCGTCGTGCGAGTAGAAGAAAAACTGGCCAGACTTGGAGTTGGACATGAACTCGATGAAGTTAAAGTCTCCGCTCAGAGTCAACATGTAGTCGGCCAGGTCGATCCCGAAGCGACGACGCACTTGACGGAACACGTCGGGCGAGTAGTCCTTGAACTTGAATGGATGTTGCAGCTGCGAGTTGGCCGGGAAGATCTTGTTGTCCACCACCATAAAGTCGTCCATGGTCAGTCGCTGCTTGAACGGCTTCTGCAGTCCAGCAGAGTCTCGGATGCCGCACATCATGCCGTAAGTGAGTGCGTATTGTTCGTGCTGGAGGTTGATGACGTTCCCCTCGGGCGCCTTGAAACTGCGCTCGACGTTCTGGTATCTCGCGTGGCTTGTTTTGGTCTTCCCGATGCGCATGCGCTTCTCTAAAATGGCCAAATTCGTTGCCTTGTCGAACGTTTTGGACGGCGGCGACGTCTCTGGCGCGTCGGAATTCTCGGTCGTTGTAGTCATATCGAGCGTCGTGGACGTCGTGGAGACCGACGTGGTGCTGGCTGTGATCATCGAGCTGCTGGTTGCCCTCCCATCGCTCTCATTGAACGTCGGGCTGCCTTGAGACGACGGAGTTCTGGGTCTTCGGCGGTCAGGAGATGGAGCTTTGACTGCGATGTCCTTGACGTTGTCAACGAGCTCACAGCCAGAAGCTGGCACGACAACTTCGAGAGGCATGACGACGTGCTCGAATACACCGCAGAGTCGGCAGATTCCTGAATGGCTGCAGCGTCCTCGAGGCTGGTGGAGAAATCGCGAGGACGAGGCTGAAGCCAGCCGCGCACATCAACGGTAGTCACCGGCCACCACATGGCCTTGAACATCCATTTTCAGCACCAAAGTCGCTATTTGCAGCGTCATGCGCCACTAAAAGCCCATCAGAGACGCGTATTTTCAGCATCAACAGGAGCTTTAATTGGTGAGCGACTGAAGGATCAGAACGCTCTAGAAGCCACCTCAACGTACCTTGATGTGTAGTCAAAAATTGACTAAGCGAGCATGAGCTGAACGCTCAGCGTGTTGGACAATGGGGTGTGTGTGTCATTTTTGTGAGGGTTTTCTACATGTACTCCAGCATCCTGGTGCCTGTCTACGATTTCCTAGCCCGATTTATGGCTAGTAGAGAGAGCTCTGAGCAGCTTAGACGGTGGCCTGGCCGCCGCGCTGCTCGATCAGCAGTTTCCAGAACTCGTGGGTCTCGGCCACTGTGGCCTCCGCGAAGTCGCGACCCATGCACTTGTCGTCGTAGCCGTACTTGTTGACCTGCGGCAGCTTGTAGTCGCGCAGCCAGTCGTGGATGGCCGTGATGCAGCCAGGCATGTGCGCTTCAATGTCCGCCACGTCGTTGATGAGCGGGGCGTAGTGGTCCTCCACGTTGATGCAAATAACCTTCCAGTCCGTCTCATTGTCGTCAATCAAGGCGAGAACGCCCAGGATCTTGACCTGCACGATGGAGCCCGTACGCCACTGCTTCGTTCCGATTTCCACGACATCAATCGGGTCATTGTCACCCACACAACCCGTGCCTTCCGTCACATGGGACGGATCCTCCCACGTCTGGGGCATAGCGCCGTAGTTAAACATCATCTCTCCCCAGCCATATTCGCGCAGCTTGCCGTTCTTCGTGTCCTGCTTAATGGGGTTGAACGGCTCACCCGTGGCGATCTCCATTTTCTTACGCGTCCACTTAGGGATCTCGCAGATAAAGTTGACAGTTCCGTCGGGATTGTACAGCGGAATGTCGTGCCACGGCGAGATCTGCTGACGTTCGCCATTGGGTCCCGTGTGGTAGAAGTTGACGCGGAACTCGAAGCTCGGGAAGGCGCCCACAGCCTCCGTCTCGATGTTTCCCACCTCAGGGTTGGCGATACGAGCCTTGAGGAATTTGAACTTGGCCTGGTAGCGACGCATGGCTTCCGTCTGGTTGTCTGCCGCGTGGTCGTCGTTCCACCACTTCATGAACGAGTTAAAGTCGATCTGGCCAGTGGCAGATTTGCTGTGCATGTACGAGATGGCTTCACGCGCATCTTCGTTGGAGATAGGCTCTCCTAGCTTCGCGTGGAGGTCCAGGAGATCGTCTTCGCTGATGAAGCCGTTGCCCTGCACGTCGAAGAGGTTGAAGATGGCGCGCATACGCTCCATCTCCTGCGGCTCCATGTTGAGCTCCGTGCCATCGTCCAGTACCGAGCCACGACGTGTACGCGCAGCCGAGATCTCGGCACCGTATTTCTTCTCAGCCTGTTCGTACGAGGCCAACTCGGCCTTGAGTGTAGTCACTTCACTACGCAGATCCTCGAGCTCGACGGCCATGGACAGCACGTCCGGGTCCTCCTCACGCCACGAGTCGCTGCGTTTGGAGCGGAAACTCGCGCCCTTGGGCGAAGACGAAGGAGACGAGGCCACAGGACGCGTGTACTCGACCTTCTCGCCGTCCTTTTTGTCGGGCGCATTGTCGATACACTGCTGCATGACGTCGATCCATTTCTGCTGCTCCTCGGACGAGTCCGTGTACACACGGAAGCAGTTGTCGGCGGGCGTGTAGAACTGGAAGCCGTTGGGCTTGCCGTCCCACGCGTGTACTGAGCTGAAGGGGATTTTGCCGCGGATTGCGCGCTTCTCAAAGTCCTCGAGGGACAGGAAGTACACGATCTGCAACTCGCCGGCGTAAATGACGCAGTAGCGCTTCTTCCAGAGCAGCGAGTTGCGCTCCGGCTTCTTGTATAGGACGCCAGCGATCAACACTTCGCGGTTGTCGACGGCGTGCGCCTTGGACTGTTTGAGGAAGTTGGCGAACGACGCGATAGTGGACGCCATGACGACAGAGTGATGGTCTTGAGCTCGAGCCTGCAAATCGGGGAATGAAGGGGAGGATCCATTGGAGACTGGCCACGTAGGCGGCGAATCCCAAAATTGCAAGTAATTTTGGGCAGAAATTGGGATGGCGTCCTGGTTATGTGAGATCACAGGAAATAACGGACCAATCACGGAATTTTTACATTCCCTATGCAGTCCGTCGAACAATAAAATTCAGCAACTTTGTGTTGATTTAACTCCGGGAATTGCGATAAATCGTGAATTCGGTGGCGATGCAGAGCCAAGTTGCAATAGAGCTTGCGCTGTGGCGTTGAGGTGGGCGGACGTCGATCTTGTCGATAAAACCAAGCAGAGTGTCGTCGCCTCGACTCTTTTCGATCGGACAGCAATGTGGTCAGAGACACGACGAGCAGCGAAATGGCCACGTCACGGAATCTTGGCTCGCGGCAAACAGAATCTCTCCCATGATGCAGAGGACTGCCAAACGCTGCACTTGAGAAATATCGCCGGTCAACTGTAGTCGCCCGCCACCACTGAGCCAACGTTGGCGGCAGGGTTCGTCATAGCAATTGCGTGTCATTAATCCAGCGAGCCATCTGTCGCCAAGTACGTCAGCAGCGCAGAACCGGTGCGAGTTAACGGCGATCTTCAGCTTCACAAGTCTCAGACAATGCCGCCAGATGAGTAGGGGGAAGTGGGTAAGACTCTCGTGGCCGTGCTCCGTTCTTGTTTTCGGTGAATTTAAGTTATTTAGCGGTGCTAACGACAATATTCACGCTGCAGAGCTATTGATAGGATACTCGAAGACGGGGCGAAAATCTTTGATATTCATGTCGTTGGACTGAAATATCTCACGTAAACTTTGCGCTCGACCTGAACTTCCTCAGCGGCCATGGTCGGTATCAAAGTGCGGCCTTCTGCGTCGCACGATCAACCACGGCGCCAAACTGTCATCTCTCAAGTTTCTGGAGTTTACCACAAGACAAAAAGCTGCTGGAATCAGTTTCAGATCGGCCATCGAGAATGCTACTCCATCGAGCGAATGTTGGCTCTACGAGACTATTACGAGCAAACGTCGCTGCTCCGAGTCATTTTGGTGTGTTTACTCACTCCTTTGCCTGCTTTTACCGTCGCGATACTTATTGAATGCATCCCGTTGGCTTCTCCATCCGATGGCTGGCGAGCCAATTACGCATTCTACATTCGACTCTTCCTCTCCAGTTTCCCCATGGCAATAGGCGGCGTACTACAGGTGAAGCAGGTCATTCCTCCGGGTATTATTTCCACCAAAGCGACGATAGGAATTGGAATCGGCACTGCTTCAGGCTACGTGGTCTGTGCCCTGTCGTTGGCAGCTTGGTGGGAATTCCCCGTACCTTTTGGCTACGTCGTGATGGTAGGTCCATTCGTGTTCTTCTTCATGATGAGTTTTGGTCTCGCTATCAGACTATTTGCAATGAACTCGGCACTACGTCAGCAGATTATCCCTCAATTGTCTGTGCTGGCTACTCAGGGTCTTCTGGCGGGATGTTACCCTCCTTATTTTGCAGCTTTTCGCCAGTTGTCTGGACTCCAGCAGACAGCTTTTGTCCTCGTGATGCCGTTCATCAAGACGCTAAACAAGCAGTACACTGCCAGGCGGTGTGCACACTTGCAAGAGTACATCGGGCCCATGATCATTTTCTCCGTTGACGTGTGCAACGTATTGTACACCGTCATCTGCATGCAGACCGCAGTCTCCTCACTCACGACTTTGTTCATGGTCATCTCCGACATTTTCTTCATCATAATTGCGATTCACTCGGTTTACTACCCCAACAACCGGTCGTTGCTTAAAGACAAGAACTATCTTCAAACACTCCCAGGAATGATGCTCCAAGTCTATCGAAGCGTTGACAGCTTTGAAGATCCAATTCGCGTGTGTGCCCCGTTTTCATTACCACTATTCGGGGATAGCAAACAGCTCATATCGGAGCTGTGTAATGAATCGAAAAATGCGGCCCCCAGTACTACCGCCAGCTATTCAATCAGCAGTGTCGTGCCTGTTGCATTTCGAAGACAGTCAAGTTTATCGGACATCCGCTACTTTGCCAGAAACCTCAAAGACGATGCAGACTTGACACCAGCATTCGTATCGTCTAAGCGAAGAGCATCGATCACCTCTGTCCCAATGTCGCGGCCTCCGAACGTCGAAGTATCTCGACGCTGTGTGTCATTGGTCGCAGCAACGTCAGAGCGAGTTCTGTCTCCCATATTCGACCGTCACTTACGCTCTAAGAATGCAGTACAGGAGATTCAAGACGCTCTCCGAGTGTTGTTTCACTCTGAATATATCATGCTGAGCGAATACGTCGAGTGTGTGTTGCCGGTCCTGTATGCAACATATCTTGCCATTCTCCACCACCTCCCGACAGCCGAATACTATCCGCATATGCGGTCTGTAACAACCGACAAGCTAATAGTGATACTTGAGAACATGGCGCTCTACGGGCTTGTGGAGTTAGCGTCGTTTATTGGAGTTGGTCTGCTGTTAAAGCGGAAGTTGGGCTTCTCGCCACTGTATCAAGTGGCATTCGTTCTGGAAACACAAGCACAGACCTTGCAGAGCTTGTTGTTCGTGTGGGTTCTGTGTGTCCTGCAGTTCACCTTGGTGCACAATGGTAAGTTTACCGCTCTTGCTGATCTACAACATCGTACTCATTGTATGTTGCGTTGTGGTGAAGGTGTTGATCTTGATGCTCCGTTTAAGTAGGCGCATGTCTTTAGGGTCCTCCGTCGGTAAAGTTACGTGGTCTCATACAGTATTACTGTCGGTTGTTGACGAATAGCTAACATGAAACAACAATTGGTATGAAGCAATTGTAGTTTGGTTAAGATGTGCTCGAATCCGTTCGTGGCATTCCGAGAACCTCCACCACACCTTTTCGTAGAGTGAATCGAGAGTGGCTATGTTGGGAAATACACCATCAAGAATAGCGCGCTCATACCGCCGCGTATTCTACGTCACTTCTCTCTTTCCTTACAGATCGAGCTGTCTGCACTTGCGTTCTGGAAAGATGGGTTTAAGCTCCAAGGTGCATCCGGTTGCGCTGGAAAAACCACAGCTTGTTGTTGTTGCTGTGGATACTTTTGATCGGGCCATTCAAGCTGCTGGAGACTACTGGAACCGCCTCCAAGTTGGTCACAGGGGACGATACTCAGTTCAACGTCTTCTCTCATTGCGAGACTATTGCGAGCGCACATCCCCAATACGCGTTTTCTTGGTGTGTACAATGTCACTCGTCCCATCGTTCATTATGGCCATGTTGGTGGAATGTATTCCTCTTAAACCTCCAGACGAGGGATGGAAAGCAAACTACGCGTTTTGGATCAGACTGTACGTGTCGTCTTTACCAACAGCCTTTGGAGCTGTATTTCAAGTCAAAGAAGTGATTGAGCCTGGGGTGATCTCTAGAACGGGTGTCCTGATCACTGGCATCGGCTCGTGCACCTGCTACGTGGCCTTGACAATGTTAATTGCAGTTGTGTGGAAGTTTCCCATCCCATTCGGCTACGTGCTGACTGTGGCTCCATTTGTTTTTTTCTACATGGTTTTCTTCATCTTAAGTATCGGACCTGGCGTTCTACGTAAGTCTCCAAAGTTGCGGCATCAACTCAAATCTCAGATGACGGTAATTGCAGCTCAAGGTGTTCTTGCCATTGCGTATCCCACTTTCAGTGCCGTTTTCAACCAGCTTTCCGCGACTCAGCAGTCGATCTTCATTTTTGTGCTGCCACTGATCAAATTTGTAGTGAAACAAGTGATCGCCAAGGCGTCAGCTCACCTCCGAGAATGTGTTGGATTGATCGTCGTGTTTTCCGTGGATGTGTGCAATGTCTTGTACGTTGTCGTTTGTATGCAGACTGCCATCTCTCCAGTAACTACGACGGTGATGATCACCTCGGATGCCTTTTTCGTGATATTAGCGCTTCGATCTATCTACTATCAACTAGATTCCACCCAAGGACGACTGCAGTCTATGAATTCATCCAAAGTGAACTATCTGGACGACTTGCTGGTGCTAATGCGAGACATCTTTCGAGAGACGAATGGAACACCTGTACCAATTCGAGTCTGCGCTCCGCTTGCATTACCGATGTCAATCGAAAGCACGAGATATCTGAACGATATTCTGAAATCTAGAAGAAGAAATGCCCACGATGTGGAGTCTTTCACTTTTTTACCGATCGCACCAACAGCTACGACTAGTACACAGTCCATGCGGTGTTCTTTAGATCGACAACATGATCAAGGAGAGCTGGACTGGGCAGTTCTTAATGCAACATTAGCACAAGTCACTACCACCAACAGTCAACGCGTACTCCCTGCTCGACATTCAACGGACAAATTAGTGTCAGGACCTCAGCTACCAATGACCGTACCAAGTAGAACGTCAACTCAGCGAACCGAGCCTCGATCCAAGCGCCGTATAACTGTTACCTCATCAGGACAAGACACTTCAGTACAAGACGTTCAAAACGCTCTACAGACGCTCTTTCACTCCGAATATGTCGTCATGGGCGAGTACATTGAGTGCGCCATCCCAGTCTTGTATTCGGTGTATCTTACGTTCCTGTACCATCTCCCGACAGCGGCATATTACCCGCATACACGCTGTTTAACCCCAGAAAAGTTTGCAAGAGCTGTGATGAACCTCCTTCTTTACTCGTTAGTAGAGTTCGCGTCGTTTACCGGCCTATCAATTGTACTGAGGCGCAAGTTTGGGTTCTCACCGTTGTACCAACTTGCGTTTGTGCTCGAGACTCAAGTAGCCACGCTACAAGGCCATCTCTTCCTGTGGATTTCGGTCATTTTGCAGATGACTCTGGTACATAATGGTAAGCTTAGCTATGACATATCATTGCGCTTCATATTGACATGGGGCTTGTACTTATAGGCGTGGATCTGGAGGCTCCGTTCAAATAATAATGGCAGATTAAGGAAAGTAAAAATCATCAGGTCCTGCAGCGGCTTTTTGACTTATCCTCCCCCCAGTGACTGGCGGAAATGTTTTTCAGAGCTAAGGGAGGGGGTCGGTTGATGTTTCATTTTCTGAGATAGAGTATCCAGTAATTTCCATAAATTCACGAAGTGGGATACAAATTTATAGGAATACAGCACAGTGATGGCCATGAGCATCGGTACCTGTGGTATGCTAATGATTTACAAATGTTACCTGTGTCGTCGCTCTTTCGATTAAGTCCGTCTGTTATTGTACAGAATGTTGCTCGAAAATTCATATACCCGCCTGAAATGTTATCTTTGGTTCCAAACCAAATATGTAAGGGAAATTTTGCATAGAAATATTTGGCAAAGTTGAACAAACTGCTTCAGAGACAACCAAACTATTTTTTTGTTGTTGCCACGGCTTCTAGTTGTGGTTTCGAGGAGCTGCTGTAGTAGCTTGAGGAGCAAATGCGCCGACAAAAGACTCCAAGCATTTAAAAGTTAAGTAAATGAAAATTTGCTAAATTTCAGAGGTTTTCGGGCGAAGCACGACTTTGAATCTGAAGAAATACTATTGTTATAATATTATCGGACTATCTTCATTGTATAAACTTCAAAGTATATTGTATATTCAAATCAATCATTTATCCATAAGACGGCTGTATTACGCCCAAAAATAGTCTCTTGGTAAATGTCGACATCCTGAAGGCAATCACGACTATCGTTTCCTCGT